GACGTTCTCATGTTCTAGAGTGGGGGGTATTTTGGTAGAGGCCTTTAAGCTGTAACAAAGGTTTTAGTCGCATGTCGCAAGTGAACCGAATTGGCTCTGACCGTTTGAGGTAAAAAAAACACAAGAGATAGTGTCCCTGACTCTTGAGCCAATGATTATAGGGCCTATTTTTCTTTAGCCTCATATGTGACCTAAGTAGGCGACTGTTACATAGTGTTTTTATGTCGCTCCTGGGTGTTTTTATGGCATCAAGACTACGGGATCAAACCCACTTGACACAGCTCCGGGCTACACGCCCAATCTAGGGTACCAGTGGTACGGTTCAGCGGGAACGTGCAAACCTTCCGGTTTACCGTAATAGCTTTTAAGATTACTCGAGAAAACTTCCTGGTACGCTCTCCGATTGAGGCCTAGCTAACCGAGTAAAGGGGGTAACTAGGGGAACAAAAAACGAGCAAAAGACAAAAAGCAAAACAAAAAACCAAAAAAAAAGAATAGAAAAAGGAACAAAAAAACAATAAAACATAAAAAAGACAATGGCTTTGACTTCCAGATTGGGTGGATCAAACCTTTATATTAAATAAATAGTGTACTCATACTAATTCCCAATAAGACCGATCGTTTCGATCAACTCAGCAACTTTACACAGCTGCCCGAGTTTGTGGCGTTGTTAAGGGTTTTCAGATAGCTTGCAACTTCACCGGACCACAAGGAGACTTGAATGGAACAGGTGACCAGCCAAGTGGGAAAATGGTTCTCAAGAAGGGGACCCGAGAAGTGCTGGAAAGGCCAAAGAGACATCCAGCACGGACGAGAAAAAACAGAGAAGGGCACACAGAGGTGTTCAGTTTGGTCAATCGACGGACCACTGGGAGACTTGACTGGAACAGGTGAGCAGCCAAGTGGGAAAGTGGTGCTGGAGTGAGGTGCTGGACACGCCAAAGAGACAACCAGCACAGAATCAGAACAAACAGAGTAGGAAACCGAGGGGCGTTCTGTTTGGTCAATCGGGTATCGTTAAAATCCACATTACATTATAGGAAATAATTGTCAAATTGGATAAGCGGATACCCACTGTTTTGAGGATACGTTTTTACTTGAGCAGAGTTTGGAAACAGGTTGAACGGTTTTCTCTCAAGAGGTTTAGCACCCATCGCGCTTAAGGTAATTTTCGGCTTAAGAGGGGGGCTAAATAGGGGGAGCTTAGAAGGGGGGCTGGTTAGGTTAGAGGTTGGCGGTTGCAAATTGTAAAAAGGGGGGAAACATTATAGTAACTATAACCGATATCGTCGGTTATAATTACATTAGTAGTGCCAGAGTCTGGAAAGTCTCATCTCTAACACCCAGAACAAGAGTTGCAACGCGAGGATATCCAAATTTAGGATTGGAATAAGGTAGGTGACCTGGTACGATCGGGTGGGGTATCGGAAATAGACAGTTTACAAAATACCCCATAAGATCGTTGATAGGGGGGAAGAAAACGCGTGACGATCAGGTACCAGACTTTTTTACGAAAGGGCGACATTCGTCACCTTTGAATTTTAGGTAGGTTCAACCTTTTGTTTTTCAGAATTTTTACGCTTAAATTTTCACGTTTTTGGAACCAATTTTATTAGTTTTTGAAGAACAGGAAATCACCAGACACTTGCTAACAAGTCGCATTTCGACTTGCATTGGATTAGTAAATTGAGGTAATTACAAGGGGGCCATCAGGTAAAATTTTTGATGAGTAAGATTGGGTTTTGAGGAATTTTTAACACTAGGACTCAAGTGGTGGTACCTGGGATAGTGATCCAAGTGTGCCAACACCGAAGAAGTAGAGATCCGACTGTCCCAACACTGGAACGAAGAGGTCTGGGGACAGTACGAGGAGTCTAAATACTTGAGCAGGCAGCCTTGGTACAGTGCGGAGTGTCCCAACACTTGAGCGGGTAGTCTTGGGACAGTGTGAAGTGTCCCAACACTTAGGTGGAAGGGTCTTGGGACAGTACGAAGTGTCCCAAAACTTGAGTGGGAGGCCTTGGGACAGTGCGAAGTGTCCCTAAACTTGAATTGGGAGGTCTTGGGTCAGTGCGAAGAGTCCCAACACTTGAGTGGAAGGGTCTTGGGACAGTGCGAAGTGTCCCAACACTTGAGTGAGAGGTCTTGGGACAGTGCGAAGTGTCCCAAAATTTGAATGAGTGGTCTTGGGACAGTGTGAAGTGTCCCAACACTTGAGTATAAATGTCTTGGGCCAGTAAGAGGTGTCCCAACACTAGGTCTTGGGACAGTGTGAAGTGTCCCAATTCTTGGGTGTAAGGTCTTGGGACAGTGCGAAGTGTCCCAACACCGGGTCTTCGGAGAGTGCGAATTGTCCCAACACTAGGTTAAAGTGTCTTGGGACAGTGTAAATTGTACCAACACTTGAACGAAAGGTCTTGGGACAGTGTGAAGCGTCCTAATACTACAACAAAGGGGTCTTAGGACAGGGCGAGATGTACCAATACTTGAGTAAAAAGCACCAGCGAACAAAAGCAGCTTAAGATTAAGACTCGAGTAAATTTTACTTTTTTTATTATTTAAGAAAATCGGAAATATTTTTTAGATTTTAAACTTTAGAATAGGACATGTAAGAATTATTATTGTTATTAAAGAAAATTGTTAATAAAAATCATAAGGCGAAAGAGGGTACCGATAGCAGATAAGATAGTTCAGGAATCAAAGAAAAATCACAACTCGACGCAACAGAGATTAACATTGACGGATCCAAAAGTAATGAAAAAGAACTTTTCAGTGAACATGGTCAACACAAGAAGCGCAAAAGAGAACAAGACGAAAGAAAGCGCCGTGGAAGGACCGACTGCAACTACTATAGAAATTGATCTTGAGACACCAGATGAAAATGTTGACGAGGTGCAAAGGAAAACGACGGAATCAACACCAATGCCAAATGTAGAAGAACAAGAGAAGAAGTCGATTGAAAGTTCACCATTGATACTGTAGACGACACAACGAGTAACACGCCGGAAACGATAAAAAAGGATTCTCAAGCAAAAAAGAAACTCGCTCAGAGAGGATTGCAGCGATGGTCGGAATGAAACCAAGAGAGAAGGAGGAGGTGGTACAAACGACCGAGAAGAGCAAAACAATTGGAACAGTCTCTGCAATAACAACAGAGGCCAAACATGACGACGATCAGGTCAAAAGTGGGGCAACAGCGAATCATGAAAAAACAACTTCTCTTGAACTGGGCGACTTGATGGCAAAGTTGGAGCAAATCGATAAAAAATTGAAGTGCAATGAAGAAAATCGACAAATGCTGAAAAAGGAGATACGATACAATACAAACGAGAATCTGGACAAGTGCTTCAACCTGGCAAGGGCAACAGAAAAAAAAGTTACAGCAGATGCCAGAAAAGTTGGAAGCTACTGACAAAGAGCGTGAGAAACTTATCAAAAAGGACATGCAGGAAATGAAACAACGGTACGAAACTGTAAACGGGAAGTTGTGGAACCTAGAGACGAGAAGGGACACAATGAGCAGAGACCAAGCAGAACGTTCATGTGATATACAGTCCAAACTGGATGCTAGCTTGAGAAACTCTACAGCGCAACAGAAGCTGGTAACGGATAGACCACAAGGCACCAGAATTGACTTCATAAAACCGCAACGGAGAAAATGGGAGTCCACGCCGTTACCCCGGATCACAGCGAGCTCCGGGGCATTGAGTTCAAAAACCATCATGAAAGGTGAAACCTCAAACACTACGAATGCACCAGAGGTCTCAAGCACGAACACAAACATAGCCCCGGACGCCATGACATGGGCAGCACCTGGGAGATGATTAACAGGAGACTGGAAGCGTTCGCGGCCAGGAACACTGACTCGAGTGATAGAGGAGGTAGTAAATCCAGGAAGACCTTCAAGAAACCCAAAAATTTTAAAGACGACTCGGATGGCTGCATTGACACATGGGTGGAAGTCATGAGACTACACTTAGAACAAGACAACTTGAACGACGAGAGGCAGGCTTGCACAGCAATACTAAGCAATCTAGAGGGCACAGCGTTGAAATGCGTAGTGGCGAGGAAGGAGGAGGAACGTGATACGGCGGACAAGATATTCTAAATACTGTTGAATCGATTCGGATCAGGGATGAAGGGCCACCAAGCGATGATGAGATTTGCAAAAAGAAGACAGAGGGACGACGAGTCAATCGATAGGTTCCTGGGTTATTTTGAGAGCCTGAGAAGAAGGAGTGATCCGGAAAAATCGACAAACAGGAGGAATTTCAGCATCGCTTCGAAGTTCATTGACGGGGTAAAAAGTGACGACTTGAGAACGATGTTAACAACGTATTATACACTTTCGAAAGATAATGCACCAACCCCGGAGGAGATGAGATAAAATTCGAGGGAGTACCTCTTGTTCCGGGTTTTTTATTCAACTTCTATCCATTCTTGGTCGGGCTCCTCAAAGGTGACAGTCTTCCGTAAAGTTTCGATCTTCTGTTCTTTTTCTTTGTACGATGCTCTCATCAAAACGCTTTGAGGAATCGAGGATACTAGTTCCTGAACTACCGTCCTACAATCCCTTTCGTTTTCCTCGTGTTAGCGTCTTGATGGTCCAAGGGCACCGGGTTCCTTTTGGCTAAGATCTTTATTTTTGCTGCTTTCTCCATGTTGTCCCGGAATTATATGTCCTGAACTGTCCAATCATCTCGTCAAGGGAAGTGCTTCATAAGTCTCTTTGTCCAGAAACGAGAATCCTTCGTAGATTTTCGCCTGATTTGCCTGCTTCTGCTCCATTCTTTCATAAAAATCAGTTTTCCTACTGAGGTTGTCAGCATTTTGGTGCCTGTCGAGCATCCTGTGCTCAATTATCATGTGGTAGTCATCCAAACTGACTATCCAACGATCAATATAACTCTGATCCATCGAGTACGTCTTCAACCAGGATAGGGCTCTGTTATCCACACGCAACTTAAAGGAAGCGCTCCCCAATTATGCGCCGTACTTCTTCACGAACGTGAATACCGCAACATTTCTGCTTTCGGTGCACCAAGTTTCATGTCAGTGTCGCTCAACACTTTACTGCCATATGAAATGGGACGGAGAACTGTTCTCCCATTCCATTCTTGCAACTGATGCAGTTTTCCTGAAATAGCTACCACTGAAGTATCAGTATCAATTACGTACATGCCTTCCTCCGTAGGCATGCCTAGCACTTGCGCTTTGCACAATTCCCGCTTTATATTCTCGAAAGATTCCTGAGCTCTTTCAATCCGTTCGAACTTCTTCCCTTTGTTGAGCATTAATTGCTGAATTGGGTACACCTTGTCTGCGTATCCTTTTATGAACTCGCGGTAATGGCTGGCAAATCCCAGGAAATTCATGAGCTGCGTGTCCGTTTTGGGTGCCTTTCATTATAACACGGCCTCCACTTCATCCGGATTCGGTCTCACGCCATGCCTGTCCGCCATTCTTCTAAGGTTCTTGAATGGGTCCCTAAGGATCTCACATTTCGATGGTTTGCATTTCCAGCCGGCTCTCTTCATGCAGTTGACGACCTCATCGAGTCTGTTGATGTGATCTGCCAAGGTAGGTGTCGCTAGGACCACGTCATCCACGTAGCACATCACGAGAATCCCGTAGTTCTTCATTACACAGGTTAAAACCTGAGTCATCAATCTTTAAAAGGTCGTCGTGGCACTGCAAGAGCCGAAGGGCATCCTCTTCTACTGGTACAAGCCCAAATCACAAGCGAATCCAGTCTTTTTTCTGTCCTTCTTTCGCAGAGGAACCTGCCAGAAGGCATTACCCAGGTCCAGTGTAGTGAAAAACTTGGCATCGCCAAGTTACGAGAGGCTCTCATCTATACGTGGTATTGGGTAGGCGTCCTTTATGGTCACAGCGTTCAGGTAGCGAAAGTCACAACAGAATCTTAGCTGTCCCCCTTTCTTTTTAGCCATGACAACTCCACAAGCCCAAGGTAACTTTGAGGGTTCTATCGAGCAACAATTCTGTTTCCGCTCGGCACAGTTCCAATTTATAAGGTGTCATGCGCCTTGCGCTCTCACTGTTGGGAACGCCACCTCCTTCTAGTTCGATTTCGTGCTGAGCAAAATTACAACAGCCAATATCCGCCTAATGTTATAAAAAAACGTCCGCGTTCCGATTTAAAACTGCCCTTAGTGACTCAAACTCTCCCTCGCCTATCTAACCTATTAAGTGCTCTATTCCGGCAAAAATGGTTTGTCAGACTCTAATTCATATGACGAGGGGCGTTTTGGAAAATTCGAGCAACTCGACAAACGGTCATCCGTTTCGGATCTTATGGAAAATATTTTAGTTGAAGATTTCAATTCATTAGTCCTTTTTAAAACTAAGTCCTTATCTACATGAGTTGGACAATCTTTTTCATGATGCTTCTCCAGGTTTGGTGTTTCTTCAAAGACGGTCTTCATTGGCAAAGCGTAGCCAAGTTTCCTTCCACGCTGAATTGAAACCCTGGATTGAAACACTACACTGACAAACAGCCGGTATCGTGTTACGGAAAATTTCCTGCCTGAAACCTCTGAAGTTTGACTATTTGGGTTGGGTACAAAGCAAACCTGCATTCTATTATTCGAGGAGTTTAAATTTCTGAGTCTAAAAATTGCTACTACTACCTGCCAGGGCAGTAATTTTCTTTTTCTGTCTAAAAAATTGGTACCTTGCTCTCATCAGTTATTATTCTGTTTACTGGTTGCCTAACATAATTCCTGTCTGGGTTCCTAATCCTTATCAGTTCGTTATTAAGGTCGATCATCACGTCAAATTTTCTGACAAATTCGCGTCCCAAAAAGAACTGATCCGAATCGTCCAGGTTCTTTAATACAAGGAAATTCATTCAGAGGTTCCGTCCTCCCATGTAGATCGCGCCGCGGTTGGCGGCTGCCAATCTGAAATTCGTAGGTATTAGGTCCTCATTGGTGAAGCCCATTCTCTCCCATGTCTTAATCGGCATTACACTGACTAATGCTCCTGTGTCTACAAGTCCTGTTACTCCGATCTCTTTTTCATCGGTGTCTAGCAGATGTGCAGTCACATCCGCTTCGTATCCAATGTATACCGCATATTGTTTCATCATGGCGTCATGACCGATTCTACGGACCTTGAGCTCTTCCTTACACAAAAATATCTGTCCAATTTAGTCATGTCTGTGGTGTCGTAGGTTTTGGTTTAAACATTATCCCGTCCACGTTAAACATCACTTGATATGCTCAGTAGACTTCCACGTAGCGCCCGTGATGTTTCTTTATTCGAGTGCCACCCGCTGTTAACAACGCTCGCACAGCTCTCAATTCAGTGCATGACTCTGCTTGTTTGAGATATTCCGCATATATATCCAAATGCATCAAGGTGAACTCCGAAGGTTCACTGAGGTTCCTGATTACCTGATCTCCCGCCACTGAGATTATTGACTGTACCTTGCTTCCTTGAGGCACCAACCCAAATGACAACTCCACAAGCCCAAGGTAACTTTGAGGGTTCTATCGAGCAACAATTCTGTTTCCGCTCGGCACAGTTCCGATTTATGAGGTGTCATGCGCCTTGCGCTCTCACTGTGGGGAACGCCACCTCCTTCTAGTTCGATTTTGTGCTCAGCAAAATTACAACAGCCAATATCCGCCTTATGTTATGAAAAAACGTCCGCGTTCCGATTTAAAACTGCCCTTAGTGACTCAAACTCTCCCTCGCCTATCTAACCTATTAAGTGCTCTATTTCTGGCAAAAATGGTTTGTCAGACTCTAATTCATATGACGAGGGGCGTTTTGGAAAATTCGAGCAAGTCGACAAACGGTCATCCGTTTCGGATCTCATGGAAAATATTTTAGTTGAAGATTTCAATTCATTAATCCTTTTTAAAACTAAGTCTTTATTTGCATGAGTTGGACAATCTTTTTCATGATGCTTCTTCAGGTTTGGTGTTTCTTCAAAGACGGTCTTCATCGGCAAAGCATAGCCAAGTTTCCTTCCACGCTGAATTGAAACCGTATTGAAACAATCTGGATTGAAACCCTGGATTGAAACAATACACTGACAATCAGCCCGTATCGTGTTACGGAAAATTTCCTGCCTGAAACCTCTGAAGTTTGACTATTTGGGTTAAGTACAAAACAAACCTGCTTTCTATTTTTCAAGGAGTTTAAATTTCTGAGTCTAAAAATTGCTACTACTGCCTGCCCGGGCAGTAATTTTGTTTTTCTGTCTAAAAAATTGGTACCTTGCTCTCATCAGTTATTATTCTGTTTACTGGTTGCCTAATATAATTCCTGTCTGGGTTCCTAATCCTTATCAGTTCATTATTAAGGTCGATCATCACGTCAAATTTTCTGACAAATTCGCGTCCCAAAATGAACTGATCCGAATCGTCCAGGTTTTTCACTACAAGGAAATTCATCCAGAGGTTCCTTCCTCCCATGTAGATCGCGCCGCGGTTGGCGGCTGCCAATCTGAAAATCGTAGGTATTAGGTCCTCCGTGGTGAAGCCCATTCTCTCCCATGTCTTAATCGGCATTACACTGACTAATGCTCCTGTGTCTACAAGTCCTGTTACTCTGATCTCTTTTCCATCGGTGTCTAGCAGATGTGCAGTCACATCCGCTTCGTATCCAATGTATACCGCATATTGTTCCATCATGGCGTCATGACCGATTCTACGGACCTTGAGTTCTTCCTTACACAAAAATATCTGTCCAATTTAGTCATGTCTGTTGTGTCGTAGGTTTTGGTTTAAATACTGATCCCGTCCACGTTTAACATCACTTGATATGCTCCGTAGGCTTCCACGTAGCGCCCATGATGTTTCTTTATTCGAGTGCCACCCGCTGTTAACAATGCTCGCACAGCTCTCAATTCAGTGCGTGGCTCTGCTTGTTTGAGATAATCCGCATATATATCCAAATGCACCAAGGTGAACTCCGAAGGTTCACTTAGGTTTCTGATTACCTGATCTCCCGCCACTGAGATTATTGACTGTATCTTGCTTCCTTGAGGCACCAACCCAAATGCGTGTCCTGAGATTACATTCAGCTTCATGCTCAAGCTACTCGGTGCCTTTGTTTCTTCCATTTCAGATGCTTCAAAGGCGTTGAGCTGCTCTTGAGCTCTCTGCTTTTCGAGTTTATGCTTGTCTTTCTGTTCAATCTCCCTTGTCACCAATTCCTGTTGGACTCTTTTTAGGGCATCTCTTGCCGCTGCTTTCTAGTCGATCTTAAAGTCGTTAGCTGCGGTTCCAGGTTCTGGTTCACTCGTTTCTTCAGACACGCCTTGCATTTTCTTTGTAGCCAGCTCTTGCGGTCTCTCTTTCCTGCGGGCTTCCACCTCGCTAATCAGGCGAGCCTTGCTGGCTTTCACACCCGATAAAGCTTCCTCATGCCTTGAGTGCTTGATGTCTGCTACAGCATCCCAGAATTGTGGAAAATCTGATTTAAAATGACCTTCCAAGTTACAAAAGAAACACTTTGGGCGGAATTTCGCAATTACTCCTCTCATGAAATCTTCATGATCGACCTCTGACGCATCATTATCCTCGAGGCTAAAGCCTATTGCTTTCATGCCCTGCTAAAAGTTGTGGTGGTCCGTCGAAATGCAATTTGCACAAGAGCGTCTCTTGTCAATATCGTCCCCTGGTTTGTACCAGTTGTTTCCTTGGTCTCCTGGTCCCTCGTTAAAATTGCCATAATTGTTTTTGTAATACCCCGATCTCGATGGAGGCTTCAGGAAAAGATATTCTTTTGACTTGAGTCTCACCTCCTCTGGTGTTGGCGCATTGGTTGAGAGTGGTGTGTATTGTGTCGCCAACATTGTTCGAAGCTCATCATTCTTCACACCATCGATGAATTTTGAGGCTATTGCCAGGTTCATCATTCTGTTCGATTCTTCTGGTTGGCTACGCCTTCTTAGCATCTCCAAATCGTCTAAAAACTTGTCTATTGTCTCATTCTCGCGTTGCCTCCGTTTCTCGAAGCGCATTGTTGCTTGGTGTCCTTGCACCCTGAGCCAAAACGATTTAACAAGATCTCAAAGATTTTCCCAGCAGTGTCCCGCTGGTATTGCTTTTTGGCCATCACACAGTTTAGGGCTGTCCCTTCCAAGTTGCTGGTAAGCGCACTGAATTCTTGTCTTTCTGACAAGCCTTTTCTTCAAAATGCACTTTGATTACCTCTAGCCAGGTATCGATACAGCCATCAGATTCGTCTTTATAGCATCTTGGTTTCTTAAAAACCCTTCTGAACTTTTCACTCTTTTGTTACCAGTTCCTGCTGCACTCTATTTAGGGCGTCCCCTGCGGCTGCCCTATAATCAATCTTGAAGTCCTCCGCCGCAGTCACCGGTTCCGGTTCACAT